GTGTGTGTGTGTGTGTGTGTGTGTGTGTGAGTGTGTGTGTGTGTGTGTGAGTGTGTGTAGGTTTCTGTTTTGGATTATGAGTATATACATGCCTGTACACAGACCAGTGCATTTGCTACATTGGGTATTGAGCGTGAGTGTGTGAATGTGCCCATCTAGAGAGCCTTTTAGACCTGAAATCACACTGGGAAAATGGCAGCAAATGAGAACGAACTGCCGAACTTCAGAAAGGGTCACGCAGTGCTCCAATTATGAGTGTGTGCGAGCCTCAGGGAGTCATCCGGCACAAACACATCTCACATCATGTCTCTCTTCTCTCTCTTTTTTGTGTCAAGCATTCAGAGGAACATGGCAGAGATGTGTAATTACTTGTTTGAGGCATTGTGTTTTCAACAGGTGTGAAATATGTGTGCCTCCTCCCCTCCGCTGTTCCTTTTCATCTCTGTTCGTCTCCTCTTCTTGAACCTCATGTTCATTTTTTCTCAATCTTTTCTTCTCCCAGGTTTTTCTCTCTCGCTGTCACACATTGTTTCTCTCTCCTTCCCCTCATATTCCCCCTGTCAAGTTTTCCAGGTTGTTTTTCATCTTCTCACACACGCCTAAGTTTCCTCCCCTTCTTTAAAGTGGTTTATCTCTTTTTTGCCCCCGGCCAAAATAACAACAGCTTATTAACTTCGATTAGCCCCGCCAGTTTTTCTTTTCAGCGCCGTTCCTCTCTTTTCTCTCTCTAATGCACTCATTCTTCTTCAAGAGCGAGGAATTCTCATGCAACACTCGTCTAAAACGCTATACCTGAAACACACTCACACTCAAGACGACACACCTTTTTCTCAACCCAAGGTCACAGTAATCATCCAAGTGTCTCAGTTAGATCAGTAGCAGGGTGTGGAAGAGTTCAGCAGTGCATCTCAGATGCATCCAAAATCCTGATCCAATGCAACCGGCTTATTGAAAACATCAAATATTCTGAAATCTTCCATTAAAGTCTTAGAAACATTGACTGACATCTTATTCGTATTAGAACTGTCTTTTGTTCCAATGAATAACTGGATAAGAGCACCCCGAGGAACATTTTATTGCTCCAAGGTTTCTCTTTCAGAGCTCAGAAGACTGTATTTCGTTTCGTTAAAGCATTAAGATCATGTCAGATATTTCTGCTATTATATTTCCAAAGCGAAATAGTAATAGACAACTGGTATTGTGTAATATAAAAATAAAGGTTCTTTATTGGCATCAATGGCTCCATAAAGAACTCTTAACATCTTTAGATTTGGACAAAACTGTGAAAAAACAAACAAACACAAAACACGCTTATTACAGTGGAAAAACGTTTCTTTAGGTTGTTAAAATGATTCTTTTTAAGAACTGCTCACTGAAAAATTCTTAAAGGAACCCAAAACGGCTCTTTTATGGCATCCACTGCACTGAAACTTTTATTTTTTCATGAGTTTGAGAGCTTTAAAATAACATTGATTTATGACCTCTGACAAATTTGATTTTCTTACACTGCAAAAAATGCTCTTCTTACCTAGTTTTTTTTTTGTCTTGTTTTCAGCCAAAATATCTAAACATTCTTAAATCAAGAAGGATTTTCTGGACACGTACAAATTATTGTCTTGTTTTCAGAAAAAACAAGTCAAAATTAAGTGAGGTTTTGCTTAGAAAAAGCAATATAATATTATTTCAAACAGAAAACAAGATTATTTTGCTTACCCCATTGGCAGATTATTTTGCTTGTTTCAGGCAAAAACTCACTTAATTTTGACACGTTCTTTCTGAAAACAAGACAATAATTAGTCTTCTTGATTTAAGAATTTTTAAATATTTTGGCTGGAAACAAGACAGAAAAACCTAGGTAAGAAAAGCATTTTTTTGCAGTGTATTCAGATCTCTGAATTTTGATCACAGGCTCTGATATCTTGGTTTCGAGAGACTTTGAGATTTCTTTCTTTCTCTTATTCTACATCCCTAATCAATACCTAAACTTAACAACTACCTTACTAACTATTAATAAGCATGAGGGAAAATGCGTAGTTAATAGTGAATAAGTGTTCCTTATTCTAAAGTGTTACCACTTTTATCTAAACATGTTCTAAAGGAAATGTTGATTTGGATGAACTTGGAAAGGCAGAAATCGTAACTCTGATTGCTTAGAAAACTTCAACAACAACAACCGGCACGATTTGGCATTATATTTACAACATTTTCTTAAGGTTACTATCTATCAGCTCGAGCAAAGATAGCAGTGGTGTTTCTTAGCAAACACAAACAATTAAACTCTGTTGATTCGGGAACTGCTGTTTTTCTCATGGCATGGTAGATCTTATCGAGAATCACATGAAGAATGTTCTTCTCTCTCGTTGCTTATTTGGATGTGAGCACAACAGCTCAAAAACAGAGCACTGGCATATTTACATAACCCCTGAAACCGACTTTATTGAATAACAGCGGCTTTCATTAGGACGGATCTGCATGTGTGTGTGTGTGTGTGTGTGTGTCTCCTGCAGCTGGCAGCAATGATATGATGTCAAATCGGTATATCAGTCAGTTGCGCTGTCTTTCTCTCTGTCTCACACACATGCACATGTAGCCTCTCGCCTTCCATCTTCTGACTGATTTGTTGCCTCTGTGTTAACACTAAACAGACGAGTCTCTGAGGCTCCAGTCAACAATACCAAGAATTCAGCATTATGGTGCAATATCATAAAACATGTTCCCTCCTATCACATCATATAAAGTTATATTGTCCATATGATGGGCTGGTCAGTTCGGTGCACAAAGAGTCTAGTCGTTCATATTCATGAGCGAGTGTGTGTGTGTGTGTGTTTGTGAAGGGGGTCAGGGTCATGTTGTGTGTCTGTGTACAGTTAAAGTAGAGATTTATGTGCAGTCTGCACTCAATCAAACATGCATTCCTTCACTGACTACACACACACACACATGCAGGGCACTAGATGGATGTTAGAATATAAATGCATCCACTAGCATTTTACATACATGATTGACATCCAGCGATTGTTTCTAGATGCATGCATCAGAGCACGTTTCACTCGTGTGTGTGTGTGTGTGTGTGTGTTTGTGAAGGGGGTCAGGGTCATGTTGTGTGTCTGTGTACAGTTAAAGTAGAGATTTATGTGCAGTCTGCACTCAATCAAACATGCATTCCTTCACTGACTACACACACACACACACATGCAGGGCACTAGATGGATGTTAGAATATAAATGCATCCACTAGCATTTTACATACATGATTGACATCCAGCGATTGTTTCTAGATGCATGCATCAGAGCACGTTTCACTCGCTCATTCACACACTTGCTCTCCGTGATCTCTACAAGGCGACACACACTCCCTGTGGATATTTAGTTTGAATTTTAAATGGATGGAAGTTGGCCTGAAACGTCGTCCTTCAGAGCGAAGCAGGAATGGATAATAAAACCTGCGTCAGGAGAAAAATCCTCACTTTCCCCTGAACTTTCCTCTTAAAAATGAATGGCATCGATGGTTCCTTGAAGAACCTTTAACATCCATGAAATCTGTGCAATTGCACAAAAGGATCTTTAAACTCCTAAAAAAGGTTTCAAAATGGGGCGATGCCATAGAATAACCATGTTGGTTCCTTAAAGAATTAACCTTTCAACAAACAGTTTTTCTACATTTTAATCATCTGAAGAACTTTTCCCACTTTAAAGAACCTTTTGTGCGATTGAAAGGTTCCATGGATGTTAAAGGTTCCTCATGGAACCATCAATGGCAATGAAGAACCTTTATTTTTAAGAGTTTATAGTGGGAAAAGTTATTTAGATTATTAAAATGTTCTTCTTTTTAGGAAAATTCACTGAAAGGTTCTTTATTTTATCGATGGTTCCATGAAGAACATTTAACAAATTATGGAATCTTTCAATTGCACAAAAGATTCTGGATAAATAGTGGAAAAAGTTTCCTTAGATTATTAAATTACAAAAAAAATAAATAATAATTATTATTTTAAGAACTGTTCACTGAAAGGTTCTTTAGGGAACCAAAAATGGTTCTTCGGCAAAATGAAGATTCTTTATTGACATTGATGGATGAACCTTTTAGAATATTATTTATATTACACAAAGATCGTTCATAGTAGAAAAAAATGTTCTTTAGATTATTAAAATGTTCTTTACACTAAGAAAAATGGTTGTTTTAAGAACTGTTGACTGAAAGGTTCTTTATTGGCATAAATAGTTCCATGAAGAACCTTTAACAAACGATGGAATCTTTCCATTATTCAAATGTTTTCACACTAATGAAGAAACAAATGAACTGTTCACTGAAAGGTTCTTTAGGGATCCAAACCCTGAATCCTTTAGTTTTAAGGCTTCACATTCTCCATGGTTTTTTTCCCTCATGCTTTTTTTTTTTTTTGCATGTTTTTTTTTCTGTTCAGTTCTGATGCACTATATCTCTACCTCTGTAATTACCTTTCTTTTTTCACTTGTGCTTTTTTTTATTATCTCTTCCCTCCCCCCTCGCCATGCCCTCATCTCTCTGACTCAAGTTTCTCATTTAATGTTGTCCAAAACCCGCTCTTAAATAAAAATAAATACAACAGAATGAAGAGCAACTATCTGCACGTCCAATCTAGAAGATCAAATCTGGAACTCGAACAGCTTGAGAAAGAAAGAAAGAAAGAAAGAAAGAAAGAAAAAGAAAGAAGTGGGAGAGTGAAAGGGGCTTGGTGAAGCGAGGGGCCATGTTAATTTGGGAAAAATGTAAACAGCATGTGTAACTGTTCAAACCGTGACCAACTCATTTTATATCATTCCCCTGTGCTCGCTCGCTCCTTTTTCTTTTAGAGGGAATCTGGGCTGCGTTAACCCTCTTTCCTTTCCTCCATCACTCCATCTCTCTCTTTCTCCTTAAGCCCTGCACTTCCTAAAGCTCTTCATCCCTCCACCTCGCTTATACACACATGCTCTCTCTCTCTCTCTCTCTCTCTCTCTCTCTCCCTCTCCTCCCCAAAACTGACTGTCTTGTTCGCATCTTTGCATGGATAAAAATGCAAATGCACGGGGCGCTGTGACATGTTAATGGTTTGGGGCTTTTTTTCTGAAATCATCTGTGAGTTTGAGTGTTTTTGGCAGTTTGGGCTGTGTATGATTGCTGTGATAGATGCATGTGGGACAAAATGAACTGTAACTGGGAAAAGAGAATGTGTGTGTGTGTGTGTGTGTGTGTGTGTGTGTGAGCGTGACAGACTGCTCTGCTGCTTTGTTCAGGCATAAATCGCATCATTTCGTCACACACTCTTCCTCCTTTTCACAGACATGCATGGCTCCCTGAAGACAGGTGCTGTGTGTGTGTGTGTGTGTGTGTGTGTGTGTGTGTGTGTGTGTGTGTGTGTTTAGACCCTGACTAACTTGAATCATGTACTTTCTCATATCAGTGTCGGTTAACAAGACAGGGGTGAGTTTGCTCTGTGAACAACAAGAATAGAAGCATAACTCGTCTTAGTATTGTGCACATGTGAGCAGATTTATGAAAATGTCCCCACAAATATAGTGAAAGAATAAAAAAATGAAAAGTCTTCTATTTGAAAGGCTTATTAATTATATATCGCTCTCTGAAATCAAACAGGTTTGTGTGAGAGTTATGGTTTAGAAAATAACATCCCTCCTGAATAAAAACTAGTATGAAATGACACAGTTTGTGATGCTAATATTTTTGGAAAAGCTTTGTTTGTTGGACAAGGCTTTGTTATACATTTATATTTTAGTGTGAATGTTTCTTTTAACACAACACATGTTTGTTTTAAATAATTTAGTCATTTATTTTGAAAAGAACCCATTCTGTTTTTCTATAATCCAACTAACAATTTTTCTTTGTCATGTAATATGTCCATTGAAACTGGATAAACTCAATAGCTTTTCTCATTAAATAGTACTCATTTGATCTTATTACACGTGATCAGTCTCGCGCCAATGCATTAATATAGACTGATTTAACAAATGCAAATGAAAACAATCGAGGGGACTTTTAGGGCAACAATCCAATCGATTATTTAACATGCAAAGCAAAGTTATATTTGAACTAAACGTGTGTCATTAATACTTTAACGAAATGCACTGCTGTCATAGGCCTCTGAAACGCAGAAGAAGCAGATTTTCAGAGAATCAATCTTTGATAGACAGCGTTAGAGAGTTTCTGAAACAGAAGGGTCAGATATTCATAAGAGAACTAATGGTTGAATCACTATATCTTCACCTTGCAAACAAATGTATGCGCACACAAACAGTAGGCCTAGTGATAGCCTAATAATAAAAGTTAAAAAAATTAAAGCTCCGAGAAAAAACTCGGAGAAATATATTTAATAATTATCTTTTGATAATAATAATAATAATAATCAACGCATCAACATTAACCGTGAAAAGCCGCTCATCACTTACCTTTCCATGCAATGCGATGCATTTTAATTGGCACAAATCCCTGATTTCCCTTCGGATCCGTTTATTCTTTTTAGGAGGTTTTGAAAGAGTTCTGGATGAAATAAAACGAATATTTTCCTGCGCTGTCCGGTGCTTCAGTAAACTCTCCAAAAAACTCGCATTGCCTAAAGCCCAACACACGAGAGTGATATATATATAGCCTATATAGCAACAGAGAGAGAGAGAGATAGAGGAAAAATATTTAGCTGGAGTTAACAATAAAAAAGTAAAGAAATGCATAAGATAAAGTGTGTCAGACTGAATGCGCTCGTGAAGGGACTGACAGCTGCCGAGCTCTGAGATGCAGGTATCTGAAGAGATTTTATGCACATGCCCTCTCTCCTCCTCCTTCTCTCCTCTTCAGTGATTCACTGTTGATTCATCTCCTCTGAAGTGCCACGAGACTCCGAAACCACAAAGCTGGGAGGAATTACACTTCTGACAGATACTTCATTATTCCTCCAATTGCATGCATTTTTTCTCTCGCATTCGGTGACTCAATTATAATTTGGCATTGAGTGATTGATTCAGAACGGGCCGTGTTTAGACTGGTGTGTTTCTGCGTCCTGTGTGTTTCTGAGATGTGGGTTTATTTCAGAGGCGTCACGAGAGGACAAGCGCTTCATTCACCGCGTGACATTAAAAGAAGATAGGATTAACACTGGGATTATTGCATAACTCTTCTGAGCCTGTGATGTTTGATTGATTGATTGATTTGCGGTCAGCTGATGTTGGATGTGATGAGTCGTGATGCTGGCGTCCTCTGCTGTTTAACACTGGGACCTTCCAGCTCGACAAGCATCCATGTGACTGTATTACCACTTGTTTTTTTAAATAATAATAATAATTAGTATACATGGGAAAATTTGCGTACACTGAAAAAAAAGAACCCGGTCTCATGAAAATGCGTATAAATAGTACGCCAAATAAAAAGGAAAACTCGTGGTATTAAAACGCAAAAATTGACTTTGGCGTGCATATGATACGCATGTGTTTGCGTGCATATGATACGCATCTAGCCCACAACCCTAAACCTACCCATCGCGTAGCATATACACGCCAATGACCATTTTTGCGTTTTAATACCACGAGTTTTCCTTTTTATTTGGCGTACTATTTATACGCACTTTCATGAGATCGGGTTGGAATAAAATGATACTACACATGCGTATCATATGCACGCCAAAGTCAATTTTTGCGTTTTAATACCACGAGTTTTCCTTTTTATTTGGCGTACTATTTATACGCACTTTCATGAGACCGGGTTGGAATAAAATTATACTTAATTTTTTTAAGGTAAGTGGTTGCAAACAATTTATTTAAAAAAGATATATGTTGAGAGTTAGTCAACTACATTTGTTTATTTAAATGTAGCTCAAATAAATTAATTGCAACCACTTACCTTACTTTTTTTTTCAATTCAATTAATAATTTTTTTTCAGTGTAGAAAGGTTATTTAACCTTTAACTGTGTGTGTGTGTGTATATATATATATATATATATATATATATATATTCATAATTTATTGATTCTCCCTAATTCCTCTCTTTCATCTTTTAAATATTCCTTTCTAAAATAGCCTAACGCTTACATACACTCAGAAAGTCTTCCAGTTTTGTGGACGTTCACACAAAGGTCACTAGTCCACAGCATTTGAGCACTGGATTTACACAAAAATCAGTTCAGGTTTAAGAAGTGTTTCAACTTTGCATCAGCTACTAGTGAACATACATTTTTATTTGCATTATCACTCAAGAGGTTAACCGCTTTGGAAGGCTTTTGTCTTTCAAACACATTAAATGCACAATTCCACACTATTTCTTATTTACATGTAAAACTTTTTTGTCAGCCGAACCTCTTATAAATACTTGAAGTACCCCTAAGATTTTAAATTAAATATTTTAATAAATAAGTATCACATTTACATCTTCACGGTTCTCTGGTGTTGGTGAATGGTCACATGACATGCAGGTAAACAAAACATATTTCATTTTTAGTAAGCATTTTATTATGTTTGTTGTTATTTTAAAATAATTTATGAATTATTTGAAATCTATTAAAATTATTATTTTACCACAGAACTTCTAAATCCTCCCTTTTCATCAAGTATGCCATTCATTACAGAACCTTTGATTAACTCATGTCATTTAAAATGACTATCAAACAGTCTGTTAAAAACACGGTGCTTTAAAACACTGCAATCAAAATATGATTTACTTAACACTAGAATAAATCCAAAAGACTTATAGACTTAGGTGAACTCATGAAATTAAAATATAAACAAGTAATACTGTTGACTGACAGCTGAACTGACAGCATTGGCTTGCCAGGAAGAATAAGCAAACTAGGGTAACCTTTTTTTTAAGTTGCTTTAGAATATGTACAGACACATTATTTAAAGGGATACTTCAACACAAAAGGAAAATTCTGTCATCATTTACTCACTCTCAAGTTCTTCCAAACACAAAAAAGATCTTTTGAAGAACGTGGTTAACCAAACAGTTTCTGGTCCCCATTGACTTCCATAAAGTCTCTTTTGTTTTGGATTATTTGAGAATCTAGACTAGGGTGCTCTGCATTCTTGTAAGTCTCACAATGGGCACCAGAAACGGTTTGGTTAACTACAATCTTTAAAAGGTCGTTTGTGTTCTACAGATCAAAGAAACTCCTACAGGTTTAGAACAACTTGAGGGTAAATAAATGATGACAGAATTTTCATTTTTGGTTGAACTATCCCTTTAAGTGTGCCATACACTACGGAACCTTTGGTTATCTCATATCATTTTAAATGACTACCAAACAATCTGTTAAAAACACTACTTTAAAACACTGCACAATATGATTTACTTAACACTAGAATGAATCCAAAACACTCAAGACTTCGAGTGAACTCAAAGTGAAAATATAAACAAGTATGCTATTGTTTGACAGCTGAACTGACAGCACTGGCTTACCAGGAACAATATGCAAACTAGGGTAACTTTTTTTTAATTTGAAGTTGCTTTAGAATATATCCAGACACGTTCATTAAAGGGATAGTTCACCCAAAAATGAAGATGTCGTCATCATTTACTTACCCACAAGTTGTTCCAAACCTGCAGGAGTTTCTTTCTTCTGCTAAACACAAAAAGATCTTCTGAAGAACATGGGTAACCTAATGGTTTCTGGTCCCCTTTGACTTCCATAAAGTCTCTTATGTTTTGAATTGTTTGAGAATCAAGAATGGGGTGCTCTGCGTTCTCACAATGGGGACCAGAAACTGGTTACCCACAATCTTTAAAATATATTTTTTGTGTTCAACAGAAGAAAGAAACTCCCACAGGTTTGGAACAACTTGAGGGCAAGTAAATTATGTAATTTTCATTTTTGGGTGAACTATCCCTTTAAGTGTGCCATACACTGCGGAATCTTTGGTTTAAAAAAAAAAAGGGCACAACAACTGCATATAGCAATAGTTAAAATGTCCAAACAAGACAGAAGTTTGATTTGATTGTGCCAGTCAAATTGTGTGAAAGAGGATAGAAAAGATAGAATAAAATTTAAAAACACAACTGTCTCTTGTGAGCTATGCCCTTGTTCCGAACAAAGTCTCTTATGTTTTGTGTTGTTCGAGAATCAAGAATGGGGTGCTCTGCCTTTTTGCAAGTTTCACATTCTGGTAAAGTTGCCAGCTTTCCTTTACTGATGTGCTCCCCAAAGTGCTTCATGACCGCTTTGACCTCTGATGTGGCCCATGGTCTTTTCACATATGTCCTTTTTTTCTTTTGTTTGTCAAGCTCTATAAAAAAAATACAGTTAGTTAACATAAACATACAACATAGTTAAATCCAGCATATGCAGAAAAAGTGATCAATGCCAAGTTTGAACAAAAGCAGTCGTACCTTTAACTTCAGAATATGAAGTAGCTGTTCTGCTGACTTGATCTGCATTTTGAGCTACAAAGGGTATAAAAACATTTTTAAACTCATTTTTCCAAATTTCATGACATATTAACAATTAAGCACTATCATATTTTGTTTGCCTCTCAAAACTCAGTTTCATCAAAACAAAAAAACACTAGGCATACTTACAGCAGATAAATACAATAAAGTGCTGTTTTCTAGTACAATTACAACGGGACAAACATTCACATCAAATGTTAACTCAGCGGTAGAGTTACACTTACGGGACACTGCACTTATTCACAATCACAAAACTACATTATTTGCATGTGCTTTAAAATCTTGCCAGTTAAGCATTATATTTGCGTACTGTTCTGACATGCGCTTTTTCTAAACGCATACCCCCAATAAGGTCTGGCTGCAGACATGCACTTGCTTTTTCAGACTTGCATTCTCTGACTTGCACTCACGAACAACTGCACTTTCGCAAGTGACGTCAATTGCAATCTTTTTTTTATTTTATTACTATCATTTTATTTAATCTCTCAGAATGCAACAGTATGACTGGTCTTTAACAAGCCCAAGAGCCCACGCTAGGGCTGTGCGATTAATCGAAATTTGAGACGTTGCGATTTCCTAATCACAAAGCCTGCGATGTGTACGCGATATTACTCTGTTCCAGAGCATATGCATGACTGCCAGCCTTGAGTTGCAGTCTTACTTGCCCTGGGCAAGAGTGAGCGCACCTCTGTTCTCCCCAATCAGCACTGCTCTAGCCAACTGCGTAAACACCCACCATTAAAAATAAAAAAAATATAAAAAAACAGAAAGCGGGACGGGAGAGAGACAGAGTGGGATTATGGCGTCTACTGGGTCAGATCGATAGTTAGGCAAATTAAAACTAAAGAAAACCGTATGCAACTTAAGCTTCGAAATGACAGACAACAAACAAAAAATGTAATTTGCAAGAGCTGCGTCACAGCGCATATCAAGAGCTCCCTTATCGGTTCTGTTTTCAGTACTGGAGAATAAAAGATACATTCTTAGATGTTCTTGTTGATCTTACACATTTTATCTCCCCAACAGATTAATTTGAAATAAATTTAAAATAAGTTCAAATGCATGTTGGCTATTCCTAATTCAGAAGAGCGCACACACAGCCTGTGTCTGTGAATGCTTCTCATACTCGCTCTTCTCTGCGCGAATCCCGCCCTACTCTGTGCCTCCCCTGATGTACTCTGGCACTCCCTCATTTACATTTTGAAAACCCCTGTCTTGCTATATACAGATTACTCATACAGACAGTATTTCAAGCTATGTTTGGGCCAAAATGCTGATGTTGCTGATCAGCCACCTAATGACTGCTCAATCAAATACAAAAAAACTAACAGTACTATGATTATTGTTGGATCTTATGATAAATGGTTTCTGATGTTCTTTGTTTTTAAGTTGCTTTGGATAAAAGCATTTGCTAAATGAATAAATTCAAATGTAAACTGTAATCTGCATCAATTCATCAACAACAATGTCCAAATATTTAGTCTGCTTTGTCAATTAATTTTTCAAATATCAATAATGCAAAAATATTTGTATTCTAAAATGAAGTGAAATTAATAAACATACATTTTTACTAGTGCTGGGCAACGATTAATCACGATTAATCGCATCCAAAATAAAAGTTTTGGTGTGCATAATATATGTGTGTGTTCTGCGTATATTTATTATGTATATATAAAGACACACACATGCAGTACATATTTGTATTTACATGTATATATTTATAGTCATATAATTTATATTATATATATAAATACATTTAATATACAAACATAACATATTTTCTTAAATATATACATGCATGTGTGTGTATTTATATATACATAATAAATATACGCAGTACACACACATATATTATGCACACCAAAACTTTTATTTTGGATGTGATTAATCGCGATTAATTGTTGCCCAGAACTAATTTTTTCCCAAATATTTAAAAACATACCATTAGACTCTGAGTTAAGCTCCAGAGGTCTGGCTCCATTGGTGTCTTCATCACTGTCAACATCCTGATCGTCATCCTCATCTGTAAAATCTTACAAAACACACAATGGCATAGTATGTTTAACTTCAATTATTCCATTTTAGTAACTACTCAATTTATAAAAATAAAAAAAACTTTGATTAAACAAATGTTTATTTATTAAATTTATATTATACTATTAATTACAACTATACCTCTGATTTCATCAAGAGTTTTTCCTCTTAGTTCAGGCAGTTTACCCTGTTCAAGGGCTAGAAGCAGTTTCGAAATTTTGGCCACCTGAACTGTTGCATCAGGTAATCTATAATATTCACGATGCACATTAATATTGTGGCCTAAAAAGTCTGCTAGTTGGTCCATTTCATTATTTTTTAGATTCAGAATTTGGGAAGTCGTTGCCACTTGTTTCCTCAGTTGTGTGGATCTTAGGTACTCTGGATGAGTTGCTCCACACTCAGCAGCAAATCTTTTAAGACAGTCATGACCTCTGTAATAGCTAGTGCACTTTGGTATTGCAAAGAGGAATTCATTATCGTGTGGAACACCACATTCTTTCCGCTTCTCAGCAAGCAGTTCCAGAGCTTTAGTGATGTCCGGTGTAAGCAGAACAGCAACTTTTCGTCCTCGCTTTCCTTTCAGCTCAACTCTTCTGAAATATTTGCACAATCGCTTCTCATATGCTGAAAGTCCCAGCTCCTCAAAAGCATACGACTCGTCTCTTTGAAGGAAATTTTTTAGAGGCATCTTGGAGACCTCTCCAGCACGTCTTCTATTAAAAAGGATTATCCTGGTCAGTGTTAGCTTCGCGAGACATGTATAGTTGTGCTCTGATGTCTTTTGGCCAAGTTCCTGGAAGGCTGATTCTGCACTTCTTTGTAGATAGCTGTTAAGCTTTTCGATGTCTTGAGTGAGTGGCAATTTGGTGGGCTTGTTGTATTTTGCGTCACTGATGGTGCATAATGCTGTGTGAGATATACATTCTGACCACTTTGTTTTATACAGTTTCTGGAACGATTGTGCACTGTGTGCCAACTCTGCGTCTTAGGACTACTGAAGCAAGACGCAAACCACAACAATGGTCAGAGCTGGGTAGATTACTTACAAATTGTAATGCGTTACGGATTCCAAATTACATGATAAAAATTGTAGTTAGTAACGTAATCCATTACATTACACATTTTAGGTAATATAATCAGACTACTTTTTGATTATTTTTAGATTACTTTTGACCTAACTCGTTCATCAAATTGCTTTAAATAGTATGATCTTGTATCATATTGATATGAAAATACAAAGAGTAAGAAAATATATTCCATTTGTTGTAATTAACAACATGAAGTGCATTGAACATTATATTATGTCAAGGTTTCCCAAACTGGTGTTTGTGAAGGAACTGCAGGAGGTTTATGAGTTTAATGAAAAACGAATAATTAATTAAATAATAAAAAATATTCAATTACAATATAAAATCATTCAAAATAAAACACATATTTAAAAAAAAAATTAATAATTTGTTTACCTGCATGTCATGTGACCATAACCAACGAGCATGCAAATGTGATACTTAATTATTAAAATATATATTTATTAAAACCATATTAGGTGAAAGCGAATCAGTTTACAAAAAAGTTAGTGAATTTGCGCGTTTTAATGTGTTTGAAAGACAAAAGCCTTCCAAAGACATAGAAATACATGAACAAACTGCCATCCGAATTTAAATGATTTATTAAGGAGGCCTTACCTGAAACTACTGGTGTCTCCATTTCACCTTGCCTTTGTGCACCCTTTGCTTGCTCACTGGCTTCAAACATAGCTTTCTGTAAAAAAAAATATACAGAATACCTTAAAGAATGGCAATCTTTGATGTTGCATACACAAAAATAATCTAATATAATAATACTCAGACCAGCTTAAATAAAATAGCTGCACCTTCAGACCTCTTAGTTATGGAAAAAAATTGTTTAAATTTGTAATGAAATTAACGCTCATGCCTCATGTACGTCATCTTACATTTCATTAGGTGTGTTCGTCATCAAAGCACCCACTGCGAGAGCTATTCAAAAGAATTCGAAAACACCTACACAGTTGATTGGTCTGAACATTAGCCCCGCTTCCACTCAGTCACACCAGCCAGAGCCTCCTGATCCACTAACTAACTGAACTGTAGTAAATGCGATATAATGGCGATACACGGATAATGACTGATAAAACTATGTTTTTACTAGCAGACAACTACAGTGGATACTGTAACATTTGTTAGTGTTACTTGGACGATGCTGTGTCCTCAAAATGCCTTGAAGACTCAAATGCAGCCTAGTTTGTGATTCCAATTGGCGCCCGTGAGCAATGCGTGTGAAGTGCAGATTCCAGTGCGGGAGAGGTGGGTCTGGCACCCTGTGCTACTTTTACACTGTTGCCGCTCGTTATTATTCAAGTTAGCGGTTTTTCTCTATTTAATTTTTGGTTTTGTGCTGGTAATCCTATTGGTATATTTTGCATGCTAATGATAGGAATCTATCCATTGATGTGATTGGTTATTGAAGTTTGTGACATAGCAAAAAAGAGCTATTTCAAACCGCATTTCTGAGGCAGCCTTTGGGAAACTACAGTTTTGAGGTGAAAATACTCAGCAATGGTGTTGATTAATGCACTGGCACATGGTTTGTCTAAAAGCATATTAAAAATACCACAGACAAAAAAAAAAAAAAAAACTAACTTGATTTTCACTACAGGGGGACTTTAAAGCATGATATGAAATGGTAACACTTTCCAATAAGACTTCATTTGTAACATTAACTAAGGTTGATAAAAGCGGTAGTATTGTTCATTGTTAAAGTGTGTTAATTTCAACATTTACTAACAAATTTTTAAATTTTAAAGTTGCTTCTATTAGCATTAGATAATGAACTACAAACTAAATTTAATGATCAACATATAATTAATATTAACGGAGTGTCTTACACTTATTGCAAATAGCCCGCAAAATCCTGCTATTTTAAAACAGTGTAAATAGAATCTATAGCTATTTGCACTTAGTGTAAATAGCATATCGCTAAAAATACTGCTATTTTCACTTAGTGTAAATAGAATCTATCACTAAGAAAATATGCTATTTACACTAAGTGCAAATAGCCGCTGCCTTAATATTAATATTTTCATTAATTTACAAAGTATGGTTCAGTACTGCTTTTTTTAAAATAGTTAAGCACTACTTTAGTCTTTGTTCAGTACTCATTATATAATACATTATATAATAATTTGTCAATTTTCATCAACAACACTTTTTCACCGATGAAAACGAGACGATAACAAAACAAAAACTCGTTTTGAATGACAAAAACTATGATGAAAATCTATTGACATTTTCGCCAACTAATAAAAATGAGATGAAAATGTTAGGGAGGGACGATTTGGAAAGAGATTCAGAACGAATCTGCTGCATGGTTAGGAGGTTAGATGCGTATATTTGAACTGTATCATAGCCTACTGATCTATCCGGGCAGGACATAAGCTAGCATACACTTGCTGCATGTCTCATAAAATGTAAAAAAATGTCAATATCTGGAAGTAAAAGAAGAGCAGACAAATGGATCAATTTGACGATGCAAAAGAGAACTCAATTCGGTCTGGTTTTCTGAACGCAGACAACAAAGCAGCGCCTCTCACACAGTGCACGAGTACTGTGTTCTAGCTGGCCATGAACTCCTGCGTACTCACAAAATCACCAGCAAATACAACTGAGAATGTGTTTGAAAGTCTAAAAGCGGAGCTATTAGCTTACCTTGCAGCTTTTAGTTGGAATTAAGTCATCTGCTGAGGTGACTTGGCAGGTCTGGTGGCTTGAGGAGTTGACTAAGTGGAAGACAGGAGAGGAGATGCATGCATTATCATTTTTGATTCAAAGAAAACACAGAAGACTTAGCATCTGACCCAGAACTACAGTCTTTTTAACATACAATTGTAAAGCCAGTCACCGGGTGAAAAAACTAACTTTAATTGGCCTAATTTAAGAAAGGGCTGCAACCCTACGTGAGGAAAAACACAAAAAGTGGTGTTGTTACCTGATGCCTCCATTTCCTGGTCGTCCAGGTCACTTTGCCGTTGAGCACTCTTTGTTTCGTCATTGGCTTCTACAGTTACATTCTATAAGAAAAAGCATGTTTTTAACACATAATGCCTTAACGTATGGCAATGTCTTTGTTTTAAGAAATCATGATTGAATTTACACAAATATGATGCACAGAGTTATGAACCAGTAGTAGCTATGAGACTACATACACAGGTCCTGCTATACCAAACCACGTCCTTGTTAACCATGATTGAATTTACACAAATATGATGCACAGATTTATGAACTAGTAGCTATGAGTATAAGTCATTATAATCAGTAATTATGTCCCCACTGGATGCAACGAATGCCTCGTTTATAATGGGTTTTAATGTTTTTGAATCATCGCTCCGACCTGACAGGGCATCACAATGTGGTAGGGGTGTAACATTTCCGTCACACATATTATTATCACACACATAGGTATTCGGCCAATCACAACGCACTGGATAGCTGGCCAATCACAGCACACCTCGCTTTTTTAGAACGATGAGCTTTGTAAAAATCGCCGCGTTTCAGAAAGGCGGGGCATAGAGGAGAAACAATAATGTACAGTATGTGGAAAATAATGTGTTTTTTTTACTTTAAACCGCATAAACACATTCATTACACCAAATACACAAAATAATGTTCTTTTTAGCAGCATCATATGACCCCTTTAAGAAGCATTACACCATATTTGTGATCATTAAAACGCGCATCTCATATTAACAGAGATTACAGTATGATCCTGATTACCTTTGAATGTGTTCTTTTGTTGACACGCCAAGGAAGGTCAGCTCCTCCATAATCGTAGGTTATCTCTTGGCCTTCAGAAATATTTTTAATTGCGAACAAACAGAGGTGTGGATTGCCATTCACCTCTATTTTCAACATTTTCGCATTAGGTTTCTTGTCATCATTTACTAGTCTACCCAGTGAACCATCATCATGTGATGCATCGATGCTGTAAAAAAAAAAAAAGTTTTTCTTTAAAAAGTTATATAACATTTACACACATCATATACTAAGCAATGGCTTTACTGCAGTGATATATTTTTGGCATGTTATTGCAATTCTTTTAACCTTAACTAATGCAGTGTGTAGCTATTTATTTCTTAAAAGATCAAGCAGAAGGTTAGAAATAAAATTAAAAACACTACAGGTAATAGACCAAGTGATAATAAAACAAGTCTTTTGCACTTACACTGCAGACATAATGCACATATCTACTCTGACAAATCAGATTTTGAATAGGTTTGAATGGGTTAAATACCCAAACAGAAAAAAGTTACATATAGAAACAGACCAAAAGCACTTCCTTTATAATCAAAGCTGGATTATTAAATGGTAGGGCTGTGACGGTGGCAGATTTTTACCACCGCGGTGGTAATGGACAAACTACCACCGGTGGCGCGGTATTTAATAATATATATAATATATTTATATAAAAAAAAAATATATATATATATAAATATATAATTTTGAAACAAATAGTAATAAATGAGGCTCAATCATCTATTAACAAACGTCCCGTGTAGACACTAGACAGACTAAACCTGTTGTGACGCGGCGGTGTAGACACGGTTCACTGTTCCGCCGCCAAGCAAGCGGGTGCTTTAACTCTTCGTCTGCATGCGCTCTCTTTGAAATAAGAATCGTTGCCACATTTCTTGTTAACATCTTTCATTTATCGCTGTCTCGTTTGTATTTGGCCAGTTTGGAGAAAGCCTCACCAAACCTGACCAGCCAGGCGTTTGCGATCATGGGAACTTGGAAGACACTTGTCCAAACGCGGATGGGTGACATGAATGGAGATGGCTCCAGATCGGTGATGTAGTATTTGGTTTCCCAACAAGATCCAACGCCCAACACAAAATGTATTTGCTGAATGCATAAACTGTATTTTCCTGCGCTCAAACCTGCCAATCTAAAGGAAACGCTGTGTATGGCATTTGAGGTAATTTGTGAATTACCATAGGCTTATAGTCTAAATAAAACAATTTGCAACTATTACTGTTATTACACTTGCATACAAAACTTCGTATTATGCTTGCTATAGAGTACGTGACGTCACATGCACTACCGCCAGTGGCAGTAGACAACCGTGGTGGTGACGCGGTTGTCACGGCGACCATCACAGCCCTAATAAATGGGTTCGGACAAACTTAATTGCCTCTGATTAGCCATTGCATTTAGGTGATCAGCAAAAATGTCTGTGGTTGGCTACAATGCTCAACGCTGCAAAAACATTTTGTAAATAGAAATACACATAGGACCATTTGAAAGCTCTTAGTATCGAATAGGTACCAAAGTAGCAGTACTTTTGACAACAATAACCCACATAGTTCATTAAATAAATTAATGAAATTTGATTTTGTCTGTCATATCTAGATGCACTTCAAGTATATTGTACTTACCAATAATCTTTTCCATTATGTTTAAAATAATACGTGTATGGATTTGAGATTTTATTAAACTCGTTTTCTTCATGCAGAGCTCCGTGGTACTCGATTATGAAGGATCCCTTCCCAATGAAATCTTTTGCAAAAACACCACGTCCTGTTTAAAAAATAAAAATAAAAAAAGGTTGATAAAACACTACGGCTAGCAACCAATTAACCATGGAAAAAATACTATGAAGAATGGCTTTACAAGGCTTAAAGGGTTAGAACTAAATACAGTGCTCGCACGCTCTCTTACAGACCTTTTTCTGTGCACCCACACCCAAAGTGCATGCATTTTTTTTGTTTGTTTGTTATTAATATATTAGTCAGGCAACTTGTAAATTATTTCAATAGGCTAGCCCCTTCAAAAAAATTCACCTGTCCCAGACAAGTGGGCAAGCATTAATGTCGAGCCCTTCACCTTTATGTTATAAATCTGGCATTGCAAGAGATCATACTTTATTGCACCAGACATAATGCCTGGCAATGAAGCTTTTTATACAGACACTGCCAGCAAGGTTATACTTCATTAATACATAAGTAAAAACAAATGGCACAATCTAAATGCCATAATATGAACTTTGCCAGGGCTGAAATTATTTTTGATACTACTACTATACATAAATTAATAAAACATTAATATACAGATTACATTATTCTTCTAAGCATTACATATAAGTGGCAAACTTACCTTTAGTTTCATCAATATATTTGGAAAGAACTGTGTCTTTATCTCTTCCTAGATGAATGTGTCTTTCAGCATCCTGAAGAGGGGTAAGCCCCCTGCCTCTGCAGCTCTCTCTGGTGAGCACTGGAATTCACAAGCGTGATGGTCAGTTGTAGGAAGAAAGCACTTTCGATCAGCAATATTGTGTGATTATCAAGTTGTTGAAGTTTAAAGAATGTAACGTTACTTGGTTAGTCTTAGGGATAATGTTTCTATGATAAAAAACGCTGTCTGAACGATATATTCCCACAAAAGAGAGAAATCAGAACGAAAACGTGCAGTTCAGACAGATTAAGGACAATACCGATTGAACTGAAGCAATGGAAAGAATCGCCTCAGAATGGCGACGCGTCAGTTAATCAGGCATCCACGTTTCAGATTCTAAGACAGATTCATTTCGTCTTGTACTTGACGAAATGGTTGCTGTAATATTACCAAGAGTATTTTTACCTGAATAAAACAACAACGACACAGTTTTTGTCAAAACGGTGTTGTGCACCACAGAGCACGTTACCTTACTTTCAGAAGTTTGGGGTCGGTCTCGAACATTACACATTCCTAATACAGAAGCATCATATATTTCTAAATAGGTTTAAACGTAGACCCAAGACATTTAAGCCCTCGGTCGTGGTTTCTAAATTAGCTAAATAGCTAATATTTGGTCGTATGAGTTTCAAACTGAGGTAAGTTAATGCTGAACTTAATTAACTTATTCGGTTTACAAAACGTAGTAGATTAAATGTATTCAAAATACAAAGACGATATTTACAGAGACATAAAATGATGTAAGACAGCTGATATAAATTTTAAGGTTTTTAAAATACAGAAAGTATTTTTTAAAAGGCACAGATTACTTACTTCGTACTTCGCTGACGCAGTCTGCATATCTTCGCGGGGAAAAGATGATTGGCATCCCAGAGCAACCCTCCTCCGCATTTTCATTGGTCGGTAGTGTTGTCAATCACAATGAAGAAAAAAGCACGCAACCTGTAATCACTTTTAATTTATAGTTTTATTCTTTTTTAAATTTGACTCTTTAATTTTAAAAGATCTTGTGTAGGAGAAAATGGTCCAGCCCGACGAACGGAGTTTTCAAAACTGACCAATTAGACCTCAGGTAAGGCTATGGCAGACACGCTGTATTATGCAGCGAAATCTAAAATGTCATCAGTTAATATTACATTAGTATTTTTAATATTTATAGTATAAGTCATTATAATCAGTAATTATGTCCCCACTGGATGCAACGAATGCCTCGTTTATAATGGGTTTTAATGTTTTTGAATCATCGCTCCGACCTGACAGGGCATCACAATGTGGTAGGGGTGTAACATTTCCGTCACACATATTATTATCACACACATAGGTATTCGGCCAATCACAACGCACTGGATAGCTGGCCAATCACAGCACACCTCGCTTTTTTAGAACGATGAGCTTTGTAAAAATCGCCGCGTTTCAGAAAGGCGGGGCATAGAGGAGAAACAATAATGTACAGTATGTGGAAAATAATGTGTTTTTTTTACTTTAAACCGCATAAACACATTCATTACACCAAATACACAAAATAATGTTCTTTTTAGCAGCATCATATGACCCCTTTAAGAAGCATTACACCATATTTGTGATCATTAAAACGCGCATCTCATATTAACAGAGATTACAGAATGATCCTGATTACCTTTGAATGTGTTCTTTTGTTGACACGCCAAGGAAGGTCAGCTCCTCCATAATCGTAGGTTATCTCTTGGCCTTCAGAAATATTTTTAATTGCGAACAAACAGAGGTGTGGATTGCCATTCACCTCTATTTTCAACATTTTCGCATTAGGTTTCTTGTCATCATTTACTAGTCTACCCAGTGAACCATCATCATGTGATGCATCGATGCTGTAAAAAAAAAAAAAGTTTTTCTTTAAAAAGTTATATAACATTTACACACATCATATACTAAGCAATGGCTTTACTGCAGTGATATATTTTTGGCATGTTATTGCAATTCTTTTAACCTTAACTAATGCAGTGTGTAGCTATTTATTTCTTAAAAGATCAAGCAGAAGGTTAGAAATAAAATTAAAAACACTACAGGTAATAGACCAAGTGATAATAAAACAAGTCTTTTGCACTTACACTGCAGACATAATGCACATATCTACTCTGACAAATCAGATTTTGAATAGGTTTGAATGGGTTAAATACCCAAACAGAAAAAAGTTACATATAGAAACAGACCAAAAGCACTTCCTTTATAATCAAAGCTGGATTATTAAATGGTAGGGCTGTGACGGTGGCAGATTTTTACCACCGCGGTGGTAATGGACAAACTACCACCGGTGGCGCGGTATTTAATAATATATATAATATATTTATATAAAAAAAAAATATATATATATATAAATATATAATTTTGAAACAAATAGTAATAAATGAGGCTCAATCATCTATTAACAAACGTCCCGTGTAGACACTAGACAGACTAAACCTGTTGTGACGCGGCGGTGTAGACACGGTTCACTGTTTCCGCCGCCAAGCAAGCGGGTGCTTTAACTCTTCGTCTGCATGCGCTCTCTTTGAAATAAGAATCGTTGCCACATTTCTTGTTAACATCTTTCATTTATCGCTGTCTCGTTTGTATTTGGCCAGTTTGGAGAAAGCCTCACCAAACCTGACCAGCCAGGCGTTTGCGATCATGGGAACTTGGAAGACACTTGTCCAAACGCGGATGGGTGACATGAATGGAGATGGCTCCAGATCGGTGATGTAGTATTTGGTTTCCCAACAAGATCCAACGCCCAACACAAAATGTATTTGCTGAATGCATAAACTGTATTTTCCTGCGCTCAAACCTGCCAATCTAAAGGAAACGCTGTGTATGGCATTTGAGGTAATTTGTGAATTACCATAGGCTTATAGTCTAAATAAAACAATTTGCAACTATTACTGTTATTACACTTGCATACAAAACTTCGTATTATGCTTGCTATAGAGTACGTGACGTCACATGCACTACCGCCAGTGGCAGTAGACAACCGTGGTGGTGACGCGGTTGTCACGGCGACCATCACAGCCCTAATAAATGGGTTCGGACAAACTTAATTGCCTCTGATTAGCCATTGCATTTAGGTGATCAGCAAAAATGTCTGTGGTTGGCTACAATGCTCAACGCTGCAAAAACATTTTGTAAATAGAAATACACATAGGACCATTTGAAAGCTCTTAGTATCGAATAGGTACCAAAGTAGCAGTACTTTTGACAACAATAACCCACATAGTTCATTAAATAAATTAATGAAATTTGATTTTGTCTGTCATATCTAGATGCACTTCAAGTATATTGTACTTACCAATAATCTTTTCCATTATGTTTAAAATAATACGTGTATGGATTTGAGATTTTATTAAACTCGTTTTCTTCATGCAGAGCTCCGTGGTACTCGATTATGAAGGATCCCTTCCCAATGAAATCTTTTGCAAAAACACCACGTCCTGTTTAAAAAATAAAAATAAAAAAAGGTTGATAAAACACTACGGCTAGCAACCAATTAACCATGGAAAAAATACTATGAAGAATGGCTTTACAAGGCTTAAAGGGTTAGAACTAAATACAGTGCTCGCACGCTCTCTTACAGACCTTTTTCTGTGCACCCACACCCAAAGTGCATGCATTTTTTTTGTTTGTTTGTTATTAATATATTAGTCAGGCAACTTGTAAATTATTTCAATAGGCTAGCCCCTTCAAAAAAATTCACCTGTCCCAGACAAGTGGGCAAGCATTAATGTCGAGCCCTTCACCTTTATGTTATAAATCTGGCATTGCAAGAGATCATACTTTATTGCACCAGACATAATGCCTGGCAATGAAGCTTTTTATACAGACACTGCCAGCAAGGTTATACTTCATTAATACATAAGTAAAAACAAATGGCACAATCTAAATGCCATAATATGAACTTTGCCAGGGCTGAAATTATTTTTGATACTACTACTATACATAAATTAATAAAACATTAATATACAGATTACATTATTCTTCTAAGCATTACATATAAGTGGCAAACTTACCTTTAGTTTCATCAATATATTTGGAAAGAACTGTGTCTTTATCTCTTCCTAGATGAATGTGTCTTTCAGCATCCTGAAGAGGGGTAAGCCCCCTGCCTCTGCAGCTCTCTCTGGTGAGCACTGGAATTCACAAGCGTGATGGTCAGTTGTAGGAAGAAAGCACTTTCGATCAGCAATATTGTGTGATTATCAAGTTGTTGAAGTTTAAAGAATGTAACGTTACTTGGTTAGTCTTAGGGATAATGTTTCTATGATAAAAAACGCTGTCTGAACGATATATTCCCACAAAAGAGAGAAATCAGAACGAAAACGTGCAGTTCAGACAGATTAAGGACAATACCGATTGAACTGAAGCAATGGAAAGAATCGCCTCAGAATGGCGACGCGTCAGTTAATCAGGCATCCACGTTTCAGATTCTAAGACAGATTCATTTCGTCTTGTACTTGACGAAATGGTTGCTGTAATATTACCAAGAGTATTTTTACCTGAATAAAACAACAACGACACAGTTTTTGTCAAAACGGTGTTGTGCACCACAGAGCACGTTACCTTACTTTCAGAAGTTTGGGGTCGGTCTCGAACATTACACATTCCTAATACAGAAGCATCATATATTTCTAAATAGGTTTAAACGTAGACCCAAGACATTTAAGCCCTCGGTCGTGGTTTCTAAATTAGCTAAATAGCTAATATTTGGTCGTATGAGTTTCAAACTGAGGTAAGTTAATGCTGAACTTAATTAATTTATTCGGTTTACAAAACGTAGTAGATTAAATGTATTCAAAATACAAAGACGATATTTACAGAGACATAAAATGATGTAAGACAGCTGATATAAATTTTAAGGTTTTTAAAATACAGAAAGTATTTTTTAAAAGGCACAGATTACTTACTTCGTACTTCGCTGACGCAGTCTGCATATCTTCGCGGGGAAAAGATGATTGGCATCCCAGAGCAACCCTCCTCCGCATTTTCATTGGTCGGTAGTGTTGTCAATCACAATGAAGAAAAAAGCACGCAACCTGTAATCACTTTTAATTTATAGTTTTATTCTTTTTTAAATTTGACTCTTTAATTTTAAAAGATCTTGTGTAGGAGAAAATGGTCCAGCCCGACGAACGGAGTTTTCAAAACTGACCAATTAGACCTCAGGTAAGGCTATGGCAGACACGCTGTATTATGCAGCGAAATCTAAAATGTCATCAGTTAATATTACATTAGTATTTTTAATATTTATTCATCAATTTAACTGTAAATAATACACTTCAAAACGTCATTTTTTTTAATTTCCCGCGAATTGTTGTAAAATTTCCCGCGAGATTGTATTGTTGTAAAATGGCATTGTGGTTAAAGGGGACATGCTTCAAATTCATACACTTACACATTGTGGTATATAAGGTCTTTTTTTATGTAAAAACTTAATAGGGGGCATTATTTGGAGTCAAAAAACAACATAATCGTTCCCAGAATTACGAGGACACTGAATTGTCCTTATAAACCAAATGTCCTTGTAATGCTGGTGAGTAACCTGACATTTTGTCCTCATAAACCATATATTCAAGAACACACACACAGAGACTCACTGACACACACACACACACACACACACACACAGAGACTCACTGACACACACACAAAAATCACAGAACACCAGAACTATTCAGCATTTAGAAATGAACTATAAATGAACACAGTAGTAGCACAATGTTAAAGACAGTATGTAACAGTAGTAACTTTATTTATATTTCAGTGGGTTTCAACATGCGTTTCTCACAGAAAACAGTACAACACATACACGAGGGACAATAAATACAGACTTTATTTTCATATTCAGGTTTTTTTTAATTATTTGATATATCATTACATTAATATTAAGAATAACATTTGAATATTTTAATATGAGTTAAAATGATTTTATTTCGTTATACCTAATAATATGTATATATAATATATATAATATAAATATATAATATAAATGAAATAAACATTGCAATTTAATGCTTTTTCAGTTAAAGGAATATAGATAGCTGCAATAGCAATTAAAGCAAATGAAAACGCTGTCAGTTCTGGTCAAAAAAACATATTCTGGTATTTGTTTACTCTGTTTTCAGTTAGTTTTTCTGGTGTGTCTAAATAAATTAATACAAATTTGAAAAAAAAAAATATATATATATATATATTGTAATTGAAACGCAAAAAAAGGAACGCTTGAGTGCGTTGTCATGGAAACGCGTGACCCTTCAACACTCCTTCCGGTTCCGGTAGTCAGAACCCGGAAGTTAGACGCGGGAAGCCGGAGAATAGAAGAGCTCGATCGGTGTGTGTTCACATCAAATATCTCCACCACCGGGACACACTATTATACGTTTATAAAGTCCTCCTTTACCCAGTAAGTAAGTGCGTGCCGAAAAACTTTGCATTGTTTACTGCTGAGGTGAACTGAAGCCGGATGAAGAATCTCAGCGGCGGTGTCTCTACTTCGCTCTTCGAGCCCTAACATACTCTATACTGCGATGTTTACAGCCCACGATGACTTAAGTGCTGTCTGTGTGAGTTAGGAAGCACACAGCCGCTGTTCAAAACAATAGAAACCATCACAGACATTCTTATAGCTTCTATTAAACCATTACACAATTCCTTTGTGTTCTGGGCATTACTCCAATAGGAATTACTGTTGTTCTATTGGTTGCCATCTGCTAGATTACATCCCACCAATACAATCCATCAAATAGACACCATTATAGTTTACATTCAAATCAATAATGTGCAGCACAGTATGGGTATCATTACCCTGCTGACAAAAACAATAGAAACCATCACAGATATTCTTATAGCTTCTATTAAACCATTACACAATTCCTTTGTGTTCTGGGCATTACTCCAATAGGAATTCCTGTTGTTCTATTGGTTGCCATCTGCCAGATTACATCCCACCAATACAATCCATCAAATAGACACCATTATAGTTTACATTCAAACCAATACAATTCCCATTATAACCTGAAATCCATTACATTTGTTATTGTGTTTTGGGAGGGTTTCTATTGTTGTTTTCTTCAGCTGGCAAGATTATAACGGTATAACTACTTCTACAGAATTAACTTAATTACTGAATTTCACAGAAAATATTTA